AGAGCAAAGCCCTTTGCTGTTTTTGCCAATATTTTTGCTAGGTTTCAGACCTGAAAACATCTGATCTGTGTGCCTTAAACAAATCAATTGTATAACTTCCTAAGAGGGTTCATACATCTATACCCCTACCTTTTATTTTTCTGATTTTTTTTATACTTTCCAAAATTTAATCCCTGCATTTCTCCTCTTAGACATTTCTCTTTGCTGATCACTTTCTCAATATTTTTGTTTGTTCTATTTTTCTCCATTCTTATGAATATTTAAATTCAGACTGTATTCATGTTTTTTCACTTAAAACTGAATACTTGAAATGAGGTAATTTATAAGGGAAAAAATATTCCTTACAATTCTGTAGGCCAGGAAGTCCAAAATAGAGGATTTGCATCTATTGAGGACCTTCCAATGGGTAGGGACTCTCAGTAGATTCCAGGGTTGGTACAGAATATCACAAGGTGGTGACAGTGACAAAAGCATGTTCACATGCTTTCTTTCTCTTCTTATAAAGCCACCAGTCTAATAACTGATAATCCCCATTAAACCACAAGCCCACTAATCCATGGGCTTTTATTAGTCCATATATTAATCCACTTATGGGGGCAGAGGCCTCACTATTTAATCACCTCACAAAGGCCTCACCTTTCAAATACCACAGTTGGATTTCCCACACTCAGCATGTCACAATGATGACCAAGCTTCAATATGAACTTCAGGGGTGGGGGGCAGTACCTGAACTATAGCACAGACATTTATTCATACACTTATTTTTTAACCACATCTTGAGGACATTTTAAGCACTTTTAATTGTATAGTTGTATTTACAAGAAGAGTTATCAAAATAGCATCCCTCTTTCATACAGTTTACATTCTGATGAGAGAGAAATGTGTGTGTGTGTGTGTGTATGTTAAGTAGTTATATTAGAATCATGAGGAATAATGAACCAGAGTGAGAGGTTTAGAAAATATGTTTGGAGAAGGAAGATTATTGAGTGCTTAACTTTTACATACTGTCAGTTTGACTTAGCTCTTTTCTAAAATTTGACATATAATATGTAGTTGAATATAAAATGTCAATTTGAGAGTGGACATCATTCTTGGAGGTATACACTTGGAAATCAGTGGCTTAAAGCTGATTTTAAAAGTCATGCTTATAGAGGAAGTCACCTAGGGAGTAGATAAGAAAAAGAAAAAAGCTCTAGAGGTGAGCCTTGTGTACCATATCAGAAATTATAAAGCTAAGGAGGACCCAGCATAGGAGCATAGAAAGTGTTAGTCATGGACTTGGGAGGAGAACCTGGAGATTCTGGGTTCCAGGGTCAAGTGAACCAAAAGTTTTATGTTGATGGCTCAGATTTCTTTTGGGGAGTAGAATTTGAAGCTAGCATTTTTCTCTCCTTGTTAAAATCATTCTAAAACAACAAAGGAAATAAAAAATGTACAGAAGACATTATTTTCTGTGAAATTAAGAGACACATGAAACTTCAATGTATAGAACAAATGCTTTCAGAAGCAGTGAATTATAAAGGATAAGTGTGTGCACCAGAAATTGGGGAGGGGGGTGCCAGTTGATCTTAGGGGAGGTAGAATAGCATTTTGCAGCAATGGTAGAAAGAGCGAGTGTGATGCAGAACCAAAACTTTTAGACCAGCCAAAAGGGGTTGCCGATGGTGGAAGACTGGAGATTTTTGAGGAGCATAGGAAGTGAGTTTAAATGAGTAATTTTTATGAAGCTGTCTTCTTCTAAAGTGGGGAATTTTTTTTTTAATTTGAAATCTCCCCATATGCTTATAGCTCTTTCCAAAAGAAGAGTGAACACTAAACAAACATAGGTGCAATATCCTGAAGCTAAGCCATATTCCTTATTTAAGGGACAAAGAATTGGCTTGCTCCTGAACCTTAAAGAAGATAATCCAAGAAAACCTTGCCACCTTCAGAGCGCAATAGGAATAATAAAAGCACTACAAGACACCCACTGTTGCTGTAAGAATAAAGCAAATAAAAAAGAACAGGGCAGACAGTTGGCTGATGATAAGCACTTGTTTGAAAACAACTAAGCAGTGAGTGAACATTTTTACTAAATATTTTCTTGTGAATAAAAAATAAAGAAGCAAAGGAAAAGATGACTAAACATTAGAAAACATATTAATATAACCTATAAAACTAATACCCATTTTTAAAAATTACAATCTTATGCCATTAGGATAGGAAGAAACATTTTTATCTTGGCATGTGCATTCATAGAAAATGCTTATGTTGGTTTATGGGAATGGATTTTTTTCTCATTTTAGATCTCCACATAGTCAATGACCAAATTGAGAAAAGTCAAGAAAATCACAGTAAATACTTGTGGCAAGTTTTAATCATCGACAGCAAAACATCAACTGAGGAGAGAGTTAAGTTGGAAAAAACATTTAATTTGAGCTCAAACTTTACTTCAAATCTGATTATAAACAGTGAAAACTCTTCAGAAATTAACAATGAGAAGTTTAATGTATGTCAGTATGCACTTCCTCCTAGAAATCCTGATAAGACACATGTTAGAGAGACACCTGATGAGCAAAATAAAACTGGGAAATCCCACACACATTGTGAGCATCTTAGTCAGAATAACAAGATTCAAGTTGTGCAGCACCCTTTTGAATATAGTAAACCAGGGAAACCCTTCAACACAGAGCCAATATTATTGGCACATAAGAAGCTTCATTTGGGAGAAACTACCTGTAAATATAATGAATGTGGGAAAGCCTTTTGTAACTCAGCTCTCCTTGACCAAGAGATAACTCAGGTATCGAGGAAAACATTTCAATGTGATGTACGTGGGAAAGTATTCTATACAAAGTCTGAACTCACTAAACATCAGCAAATTCACACAGCAGAAAAATCCTACAAATGTAAAGAATGTGATAAAACCTTCATGAAGAAGTTATCTCTTACAGTCCACAAAAGGGCACATACAGGGGAGAAGCTTTATACATGTAATGACTGTGGAAAAACTTTTCACCAGAACTCGCTCTTCAGAAGTCATCAGAGAACTTACACAGTTGACAAACCATATGAATGTAATGAATGTAGGAAATCTTTTTCCCACAACTCAGCCCACCATACACATAATCAGCCCACC